TTTCCATTCCCAGAATTCTTTTGAAGATGAATTCCATGCTGACTGAGGGATTCTGGAAGTCTACATATCTTCAAGTTGTTAAAGTTAAGGAACACCGATTCAGCGCATGAAGGATTTCTGATGTCCGTTCCTATTGATAATTTGTATTTATAGAAATCTACTCCTCTAAGTGCACTGTTAGAAGAATATGACCAATTGCTATGATCAGCTCCAATGGTGAGGAGAGAGGGAGAGAAGAAAGTAGCAATGGTTTGCTTTTGACATTGTTTTGGCAGGATGCAAGTTTGCAAAAAATTGCTCTTAAAATCAACCCCTTCCCATTACTCTCTGCCACTCACTTCAGGTTCTAATATTGCTAACACTGTAAAAGGAAAAAATAGCCCTCTTGGATTCAGTCAATGTAGAAGGGACATACACCACTCTGACAAAAGATGAGCTTATAGCAGAAGAATTGCACAAACAGTAGCAGGGGAGGTAGGGGTATCAGGCAAAGATAGTTCACTCCTCCCCTCATTTCCTGCTTATTGCTGAAGGCCCCAATAGTTCGTTCATACACTTCCATTTAATTGGCCTTCCCCTACTCACCTCAGTTCCTCCTCTTAATTGTATTATTGCAGCATTCAAAACACTTCAGTGAAGTTTTTGACATTTCCACCACCCACATACCCTGATGTCCTGCAATAAGAAAGTTTAAAGGAACTGCAGCTGAAATAACAGCTATACGTCCTCTGACTCCCCTTTTCCTGTTGCTTCCCCCGTGCAACATTATAGACTATGACGAAAACCTGTCTATATTATGCAAATCAAGACAGTTGGCATATATCTGCATAACTGACTGCATTTCTAAAACTGAAAGAAAAGTTCTACTGGAACCCAAGTTGGATTGGAAAATACATTAAGTAACTATTTTAAATTTCCTTTTGAACCATAAATGTATAAACCTGGATATTTTAAAGAAAACAATAAAATCCTGAATTTCTTAGGAAAAGAAATGTCATTTACAAAAGAACACATTGTTTGTTTATTTGCTCTAGCTATAATGCTTATGCTTTAATTTTTAATTTTCTCCTGTAACAAACTCTACGTGTTCAGAAACTTCACCTGGTCCAGAATGGTGGAACCAAATTATTATGATGACTAGTTAGAGAAAGGCTGCTTCACTGTATATTAGTACAGTGTATATTAGTACTAATTATTAATATATTCCAACTATCATTTAAACCTATCTTGGTCAAGGGATCTCTTCCCAATTAAAACAAAAAACAAAATTAAAAAATAAACAGAAATAGAAAATTTAAAAAATGGAAAATTAGAAAAGGAAAAAGAATAACAGTAAAAATACTGGAAAAAACAAAGCAAAAAGTAAATAAAAATAGAAAAAGAATTTCTTGTGAGTTTCATTGGTACAGATAAAGATATAAGAATACAACAAATTACTATCCAAATTAAAATTTGTCTATATTATTTTGATAATCCTATGTAGTACTATTCATCAAATTTCAAAATCAGCTTTTCATTTATTTTCTTGCAAAACTCAAATAATGATTTCCAAGTACAAACAAAATTTGCCAGTCTTTCTTCTTCAAGCCTATCAATTTCACCATCTCTGCCAATTCCACCCACTCCATCATCCATTCTTCCATCACAGTTATTTGAGATATGCCTTTTCTGTTGTTATCATAATAAAAACAAAGTTCCACAAGATGTTTCCATTTGTTTGGCCATTAAGCAGAAAAGAAATTTGATCTTTTTCAAATTGAAGACCATGCTTGACTTTTGAGTGGTATGCCATTTGTTGCCACATGCCAACAAAGAAGGCAAAATTAATAACAACAGCAACAATGGTCATCGAAAAAATAAATGCCCTCCCCAATACACAGTTAAATATTACGAGGGATTATATCTACAAAATTTTGCAGCAAAAGGGCAGCAGATTACTGGGACAACAATGAGTTTTTCTAGGAGAGCAGGATTGTGCACAGCCCACATGCTCTGTCCTAAATAGTTGGGTTCACCTGTTTAAAAGACCATTATTTCTCTTATGAGCCTACCTCTAGGTACCTCCTTTGTACCCAATAGTGCCAATGACCTATCTGACAGGAATAGCCAAGAGAGTTTTATTGGTGACTGCTCCCGCATTGCAGAACTCCATGCTAATGGAAGTATAGTTTTCATTGTTATACTTCTGTTGGTACGCAAAAAAACATCTTATTTGGGTGAAACTTTGACAAAGAAGTTGGTCTGTTATCTGGATGTTGTCTATTCTACTCATGTGTAAATAATGTTTTATATTTTAAATCCTCTAATTATCCTCTTTATGTACTACCTGCAGCAATAGCTTTGGGAAAACATCCAAGAGGACCTTCCCACTGTCTTGTATCTTCCCTATGATAACTTCTGGATCACCCTAGCTTTATGAACCCCATGAAAGTGGTCCAACTTCTGGTAAGAGCTGTCTGCTCTTCAACAGAACTATGGACAGGTGACAAAAAACAAAGCAGGTGACGAAAAACAAGGTGGGGAAAAATGGCTTATACAAACTTAGTTTTCTCTGCACTCCCTCACTCCTGAGAAAGTCTTTTCCCCCAAAGAATGTCATTCAGATCAGGGGAAACCCCAACCCCAGAGTGGGAGGATTAATTTTTAGCTTGTGATCTGCACATTTGCTCAACTTTGTTACATTTCCTATATAGATAGTCTTCATTTAGTGGCTACTTCATTTAGCGACTGCTCGCAGTTGCAGTGCTGATGTAACATTGCAAATCCTGCTTTTCATGTAGTTTTCAACAGATCAATTTCTACTGAAGACAAACTCTGGCACAGAATCTCCGACTGAACACACATTTGGAAGGAAGGGGATTGTTTTTATGAACAACAGTTCTCTCTTTCTGCCTTTTGCCTCTGATTTTTGAGCCAGCATATATATTAGAGATAGAAAATACATTAGAAAGAAAAGCGAGGTGGAGCAAGTACTTGTCTTCACAACACTCAAACCTATATTGTTCTTTAGAATGCCTTTCCAACTGTGTATCTTCCAGAATTTTTGGCCCCAATTTCTAATAACACTAATAATTCCCAACCAGAATAGGCAATATGCTCTTGCGAAGGATAATGCCAACTAGGAACTCTGGTACAGTCCAACATTTCTAGAAGAGCTCATTTAGAATAAGTTGGCTTAGTGGAGAACATGGATCACTAAAATGCAAAAGGTGTTGGCTTTCGCATTGCAACCAATATTTAAAAACCTTCTGTGGCAATGGAATATTCACAATAGCAAAGAATACAATTTTACATTTTCAGGTTGAAAACAATATTGGTCCAGCACTTCAGGTACAAAACACTAACAGACAGAAGATATGCACCACCTAGTGAAGAGCATCTGTAGCGCTGCCCTCCTGTGAACTGGGCATTTTGTACAAAGTGTGCTTCCCTTTCAGCAGAGGAACAAACTGTTGCCAAAATGGCAACTCTAATATGTCTGCTCAGTCTAGTATTTTTTTGGACAAAGCCTCTTTCCTAACTCATCTCTATCAATTCAGCAAATGACCAGTTCACCTCACAGAATGGCAGACAACAGTATTATTTCCAAACACTGTCTGAGAAACAGACTTTCTCTTCTCTTCATAAAGCTCCTTATTCAAATCAAATAGAAATTAAATTAGATGCAGTTTCTTAATTGTTTTAAATCAAAGCTCAAGTGTGCAAGGACACACAAAGGAGAGTATATCCTCCATGGCTAGAGTAACACAAAAAGGAAAGCACCATGGGAAATATGCCTCTGCATTAACACCACCCTTTCCCTGCAACTGGAAAAAAAAATTGCCAGGCTTCAGGTGAAGAGAGAAAAAGCACTTGCACTGACTTCACCTGCACAAATAAAATGTAGGGTGTTGCAAAATTAGGCAAGGGAAAGGGAGAGATGGATGAACGTGAAACAACGTTGCTGATGCTATTTATCCAGGGCACTGCATAAGCAGATATAGGCCCCCAACCCCACCCTAATGGAAAAGCTATCAGTCACCACATATGATGGATGAAAGCACAAAAAAAAAAAATGGAATAGGAAACATTAATTGCCAGCCAAAGAAAACAGGAGCTAACAAGGGAAAGGGGATCAACTGTTGGCCCACATGGAAATCTGACAGCAAGGGATTTATCAGAAACAATAATACTGAAGAGAAACGGAATGAACAGTCACACATGACAGAAAGGAAAGGCAGAAAAACAGAGCAAATGTGCGAAATACAGGATTTCCTTGTTTCTCTTGCTTTAGCTGCTGTCTGATGTGGAGGGGGAGAAAGGGAGGGAGGGAGGGGGGAGAGAGAGAAAGATTCTGCTGTTCTTCTAAAAGACTACTAAAGAAATACTAAACCCTACTCCTTGTAACTACTTAACAGAAACAGCACACAATCTGCTCCTGTAGTGTAGAGAAGAAGCAGAGGGCCAAAGAGATGGATCTGTCTTAATTATCAACATTTTTGTGTGCATTTGGGATTAGCCGGCTCAGCACCCAGATAGGTCCAGCAATTGGACAGGGGAGTTTTGCTCTGGGTCACCCCCACTTGCAGCGCTAACAAAGAGCAACAATGCCCACCGACGTAGGTTAGACGCGCAGAGATAAAGGGAAGGCGAGGGAACTTCTCCGCCCTGGCAGCGACAGGGCTCAGCCTCCCCTGACCCCCTCTTTTCCAACCCGGGGCCGTGCCACACATTCTTGACGGTCAGCAAATCCCCGAGTCCGCAGCTCCAAGCGCAGAATAGCGGCAAGCCTCTCTTCCCCGCCCTCCACCCCAGCGATACGCACAAGTCGCCCTGCAAGAGCCGCGCATCTTTGCCAATGAGGGGGTGGGGGGGACAACGCGATTTGCAATGAACAGGCCGACCTGGAACGGGGAGGGCAAGCAGCAGCAGCCGCTGGAGGGGGCTCCTTTTGTTCGCTCTTTCCATTCACCTGCAATGGGAAGTTTATCCACGGAAAGCCCCTCCTGTCCCCACCTCACCTCACGGCCACCTTGACGCTGCAGCTGTCACCCTGGGCGGCCATTCCCTCCTTCTTTTTCTCCTTCTTCTTTTCCCTCCCTCGGCGACGCCGCCGACGCCCCGCACCGCAGGAGAACGCTGCCCTCCAACCACCATGGAGCTCGGCGGGGCCAGGGCCGAGGCGAGGTTGCGACTCGGCTAGGAGCAGGAGGCGCGTCGGAGGCTGCTCGAGCCGCAGGAGGAGGGCATGCTGGGCTCCTCTCGGGGAGCGCGGCCGCTCGTCCTCTCCAGGAGAGAAAGAGAAAGGCAGCCCCCAGAGGGGGAGAGAGAGCTTAGGCAGCGTCCCCGCTTCCCATCCCGCCAGCCGCGGCGGCGGCGGCAGCAGCAGCAGCGGGACTGCGGAGAGAAAATTAGCGTCGACCCAGCCAGAAGTCGAGCGGGCGGAGAGGCTTGGAGTTGGTGGGGGGGAGAAGAAGAGGGAGGCGGAAGGAGGGGCGCCAGGACGCGGAGGCGGTCACGCCCACCCCCCCCCGTCAACTCTAAAGGTGGAGGAGGGATTTGCGCCGAGTAGGGGCAGTGGGCAGCGTGCAAAGAAACACGAGGGAAGGAGGAAAAGGGTCTCGGCGTTGGAAGGGCTGAAGAAGTTGTAGATCCAGAGGCTTGGATACATATATAGATAGATAGATAGATAGATATAGATATATCTATAAATATGTCTGTCTATCTATCTATCTATCTATCTATCTATCTATCTATCTATCTATCTTGAAGAGCGCCGCTGCTTCGGTGCACGATCTCGGTGAATCGCTTCCGTTCCTTCTAGCCGGCTAGCTCTAGAAAATAATTTAAAAAAAAATTCCCGGAAGAGAGTAAAGAGCTTGCAAACGAAATTACCACAGAGCGAGCATGAATTTTGTAGCGTTTTTCACATGGGTGGATGGAAGGTAGGCTTCTGTGGTTGTAGTAGTAGCTGAACCAAGGGGTTGCTTCATTATTTGAATGACCCCATATATTTCAGAGGCTGGGTTTCTCATATTAGCCAAAGGTTGGCTGACTGGGTTTGGTGCATTGTGTGACTATTTCAGGCCCTGGCTTGCCTTTGGTGGGAATTTTCATCTAATATTGTGGATAAGGCTAAAATATGGCTGCTGTCAGTGAACTGTATTGTGAAATTATAGTCAATATCACACACGTACACATATGCAGGGATGTAAAGATTCTGTTGCTACAGAATCTTTACATCCCTGCATATCTTTACATCCCTGCAGAATCTGCTCCTTGCTTGTAGCTGAAAACCAAGATGTGGCCTATGTTAGCCTCCATTAGTAGAAGATTGAGATTCTCCTAGGTCAGGGGTTTCCAAACTCTAAGACTTGTGGGCTTCAATTCCCAGAATTCTCCAGTTAGCATAGCCATTAGGAAGAGTTCTGGGAACTTAAAATTGCTTCTCAAAGTTGTCCAACTGGAAAATGCTGATTTAGTTCAATCCTTCGTAATGTGCAAAAAAGTCAGTGAGGTGAGGATGTTCAGACATTTACCACAAAAAACTCCAAATATGAGACAATGCAACCTGCATGTGTACATCAGTCAGCTGTTGTACAGGTGTTACAGTCAGGAAGCTTTGCTTTATGTGTTTTTCTTTGTAGATGTCAGTGGAAATAACATTCTAAGTCATAAACTGGAGTGGGCATCTTAAAATGTTAACATCTTCCTGCAGCTTCAGTTATATGAAATCATTGACATTATTCCCTGCCATTTTGAAGCAGGAAGCTGAAAATTTTAAGTCCTGTGTCCTATTTAATAAATGGATTGCAGAAATATAGATGAACATTAGATGGCAGCAGAGTTAGCATTCTTTGTTGCAATTTTAAGGATTTTTGCAGCCTAGTTTTGGAAACCAAAAAAGACCTGGTTCACACAACACACTGAGCCGTAAAATTGATATGGTTGTCCTGGAATGTTTTTAGTATACATGGTAAACTTCGTTTTGTTTCTAATCATTAAATAAGCTATATCTGTCTGCATTTATGCACATATAAGGTCATCATAAAAATAACACAATATGACAAGGTGTTGTGTAAAACCAGCCCTTTATTGTGTAGGTGCTTAATATGTGTAACCAGGTCAAAGAAACATTGCAAGATTCTCTCTCCCTCACATCCTGCCCAGTTTTCATGTCACCTTACTCACTGTGACCTTCACTTTCCCATAAAATATATAGTGCAAGCTTCCGCAAACAACTTATCATAAAATAAAGTGCACTTTACATATCACAATAGCTGAGTTTTCACAAAAAACCCCTCCCACTTATGCTATGGCTTAGTATGTGGTGTGAACTTTGTCCATTCATTTATAGCCATGATTTTAAGAGTCTTCCTTTACTCTCAATGACTGAGAAAGGAACATTCTTTTGACAGCTGTGATAAGTATACTGAATTTTATCTTGGTCAGATAAGTCACACAAACATGTAAAGCAAAACAAGACAATCCCCATTTCCACAGAGAGTGTAACTATATATAAGCATTACCTTAATGAAGTTAACCAACTTTCTGGGTTCACATAACCATAAACTAATTGTATAAGTTGCACCTGTACAAGCTTCAAGTTTGTAGTTGTTCAGTTTATGATTTGGGGTGCTGGGTGAACAGGGTCCCTAGCAGGGGTGGGATTCAATTTTTTTACTACCGGTTCTGTGGGCGTGGCTTGGTGGGTGTGGCAAGGGAAGGATACTGTAAAATCTCCAGTCAGAGGTGGTATTTGCTGGTTCTCTGAACTACTCAAAATTTCAACTACAGGTTCTCCAGAACTGGTCAGAACCTGCTGAATACTACCTCTGGTCCCTAGACAGGAAAGGATTTGAATTCAGCATTATTGTAATAACAGAGGCACACAACCGCACTAGCAGAAAGGTGAACAGAATGTTAAATTATGAAAATAAGAGGCACCAATTTAGGCTGTTTCGTGACAGTTCCGTCAGAAACACATTTATGTTTTCCAGCTTAAGTTTTGGCAGCCATGCCAAAGTATGCAACTCCTTCAATTCATTATGGGGGGAAATGGTATGGGGGAAAAGGGTGTGATTAAATGTTAGACTGGATGATTCTATTTTAGAAGATACTGTAAATAATTTGTTCCAAGTAGCTGTATTGATTGAATTAAAACAAATCTGGTTGTGTTTCTGTAAGCAATGTTACAGTTGCTTAATCAGTGAACTACACTTCTTTTATACAAATACTTAAATCTTTTTTATATTAACATATCAAACCTTGGTCCTCCTATTTAATAGTAAACTCAATAGAAAAATCAACCAGACCACAACCAGTCCTTGAGCATTCTCTGATATGTCCATGGATGTCTGCAAAGCATGATGAAAAATAAGTAAAGAGCTCAGCTCATTTTTTAAGGAATGCACATAAAATTTGGCAGAGCTTTAATCATTTTATTGTAGCTTCCATCTTGATTTTATTTCACCACACCATGCATATACTCCAGGTATCATGCAACTAATATCTATCCTTCTGGAAAACATTTTTCTGGGAATTTATCTCTGGAGATATGTCTCTTGTTTGAGTTCATGATCTTGCCTATATTTGGTTTAATATGTAATTAGAGTATTTAGGGTGAGGGTGAATTATTATGCAAAATACCATTTGTAATGGGCTGTTAGATGAGCCAGCTTGAGGTAGTGATTAAGGTATCAGGCTAGAAACTAGGAGACTGTGAGTTCTAGTTCTGCCTTAGGCATAAAACCAGTTGGATGACCTTGGGCCAATCACTCACTCTCAGTTCTAGAAAGGCGGCAGTGGTAAACTACTTCCAAAATCTTGCCAAGAAAACTGAAGGGATCTGTTCAGGCAGTTGCCAGGAATCAACACTGACTCAAAGGCATACACACACACACACACACATAGGCATTATTTGCTTTTACTAGTGAATGACATAAGACTGTAACATCAATACTGGATCTGTTGCTTATGGATTTTGTGCTGATCATTATGCAGGTTAATTTTTTCTTACATTTTTAAAATTTTGTATGTGGTTTGTAGTGCTACAGATTACTTATTTTATCTTCTCGGACCAGTGTTCGATTTAATAGAGGGATATCATGTGGAAAAAGAAAATTTCCATACTCAAGTTAATTGCCAATAACTGCCTATCATATTTAATTCAATTAATTATAAGATTCTTCAGAAACATTTTATTAGTATAAGACCATACTTACGCAATGTGTTTGTCAGTGTACTCCAAGCTCAGATAGTAAAATGTGTGGAGCTTGGTAGTTCTATATTTTTTGTGTAGATTGATACAAGCTACTTGGGTTGGTTCTTTTTGAGGATTCTAGTCTTGAATGCAGAATTACTTACCATTATGGAGCAATAGAACACTTTATTTTATTTTTTGTTGTGTTCATATTACATACACAATAAGAAACCTCAGTGAGTTCATACAAATAATCCAAAGTTGTCCTCATGAGACAAATATTTGAATGAGAGTTCAGGCTTAACATGTTGTTTGCACTCTAAAAGTGCTGCCACATCAAACCAAAAGTATAACCTTTAGTTTAAAAAAACCCAAAGCAGAGGCTGAAATTCAAACAACATATTAAATATGAAAACTCAGTTTAATAATTGTACATAGGAAGCTAAAAGTGATGCCAATTCATGCCTACTGAGGTTTCTGCTTCATGCACACACCCCTGAGATTATCCCAAAGGTGCTTCTTCAAGAAGCAACTGGACTTTCTTGTTTTTCTTTCAAGAAGTTTCGCTTCTCATCCAAGAAGCTTCCTTTAGTTGAAGAAACTTCTTGAATGTGAAACGAAATATCTTCAAAGAAAAACAAGAAAGTCCAGTTAAGTCTTGAAAAAGCACCTTTGGGACAACCATGACTTGGATGACCGAGAATCTCTATAGATACACCTGAGATTACTAATTGCATATCAGCAAGTATCTTTTCAACGGCCACATAGACTGTGGCTAGTTGATATTAATTCTACTGAAGTGTTCTCCATTGTGTCATTAAAAAAAAACTGGAAGCAACCAAATGACTAAGCAATCAACATTAATCAAGGGTAAATTATCCCAGGCACATTGGAGGACATAGCAATTAATGATTAGCCATTGTTTCTATGTATTCCCCTTTTTGACTGATATCTGAATTGTCTTTGTGATAGCCATCTGGCACTTCTTTTTAGAAGGGCGGAGGCATATAATAATTGGGGATAAAGACTGAATCTTGCCTTGCAGGCTTTATGTCTACAGCTCATGCATACACACCATGCTGTGTGCCTGTGAGAAATAAAGCCAGATGAGAAGTCAGCTGTATATAGGAAAGCAAAAGGAGAACTCCTGTTCTGGGGTCTGAAAAC